ATATAATGTTGGTTAAGACAGGGTCTCACAACATGGTTCAGGCTGGCCTTGAACTCTCTTATATAGCTCAAGATGGCCTTGAACTCATGGTGATCCTCCTGCCTCGGCCTCCTCAGTGCTGGGATTACAGACATGCACCATCTTGCTCAGCTTGGACAGTTCTATCTCCATGCCACAAATAAGTAGAATATTAGTTTAGATGTCATCATTCTTGCTTTCTCAAGTCCCCTTATGCTACCAGAACTGCATGTTACATCTGTGTCAGAGTATGAACATCAACCACTTTTTTCCTCTCCAGTGTAATTTTGCATTATTTCTTATCTAGAGAAATTAAAACTTTTTGTCTTCTTTCCAGTGCCTCCTCACTTAAATTGTGCTTCTTTCTGTAGTTTTTGTTTATGTTCGTATTTATTTTTGAGCTGGAGTCTCTGTGATGCCCTGGCTGGCCTCAAACTCACAACTAGCAGGGATTTCAGATGTGCTCCAAGTGGGGCCTTTCTTTCATGGTCCTAAAGGCTAATATTTTTTGTCATCATCCTACTGTTATTAAGCATGCTCTTTTCATTTCTTGCTTCAAAACTGTGTTGTCTGTTTTTGCTTTTCCTTTTCCTTTTTTTTCTTTTCTTTTCTTCCTTTTTTTTTTTTTGGTAATGCTGGAGATTGAACCCCAGGCCTCTTGCACACTTTATCTTAATTTTTTTTGTGTTTTAGGGACGGGCTTTCAGAGTGTTCAGGGTCTCACTACTAGATTGGACTCATAGTGATCCACCTATTTACAGCCTCCCAAGATCTGGGATTACAGGCATGTGCCCCCACAATCAGTCTCAATTGCTATATCAGCATGCCCTGGGGGCGAGGCCAGCATGGCAGGCCCTGCAATTGAACCCCCAGGCCCTGCAATTGAACCCCCAGCCCCTGCACTTGCTTGCAGGTGCTTTAATCTGCTGAGCTATTTGGCTAGCCTTCTTTTCTTAATAATAATGAAAATGTTCACTATAGAAACTTTGAAAAGAAGGGAGAAAATGACACCATTTAGAGAAAATGAAAATAATGTATAACCTTTCAATCACTATATTACATTTAAAAAAATTTCTCTCCTGGCCCTAATGTATGAGTGTACTTTAGCACTTGGGTGTAGCTCTGCTCAGTGCTAGTGGGTAGTTAGCTCTCACAAAACCATGGGCTCAGCCCTTAGCCCTGAAATCAATTATTCAAGTGTGTATTATTAGTGTAATTTAAAACTAACAATATTATAGTGAGGGCTTTGGTGTAACTCTCTTTTTTCAGCTTTTTATTAGTGTGTTACTGTGAAATGTCTTTGTTGTGGGGAACTTGGTACGTACACATACCACATCTTGATCCTTTTTTTTTTTTTGGTGGCAGAACCAAGGATTGAACTCAGGCCCTTGTGCTTGCCAGGGAAGCGCTTATTTCACTGAGCCATCTCCCTGGCCCCTTACATCTTGATCCTTTTTACTTCTGCTTCCTCTCCCCTCCCTCCAGTCTTTCCATTCCCCAGATCCTGTCCCCATCCTTTCAGAGAACCAATTCTTTGACTCATTGATGTTTTGTATTGTTTTCTTTAGTCTTGAGTTTATTAATTTGTACTCTCATCTTTACAGTTTCTTTCCTTCTGTCTCAAATTTTGATTGCTCTTGTCTTTCTAGGTCTGTGAGGTGGATCATTGCATCATTTATTTGGGATTGCTTTTTTTGTTGTTGTTTTTGTTTTAATGTATTTAGTACAGGATCTTACTATGCTGCTTGCACTTGTGATCCTCCTGTTTTCAGCCTCCCCAGCGCTGGGATTACAGGCGTGCGCCACCATGCCTGGACTTGGTGGCCGGCTCAGCGTGCCTGGTGGTGGGGCTGGTATGTGGATCCCTGTGGTACCAGGGATCAAACCCCAGTCCCTGTGCTTGCCTCAGCTCTATTCTGTTATGTGTGCATTTACAGCTATAAAATTTCCTCCTAGAGCTGCTCTCGTGGTATACCATAGGTTTTGGTATGCTATGCTTCCATTGTTGATTCTAGGAACTTTTTTATTACTCTTCTGATTACTTCTGTGGTTTATTGATTATAATGTGTTATTGAATCCATGTGTTTATGTAGTTTTTGTGGCTTGTAGTACTGTTAATTTCCAGATTAATTCCGTTATGATCCAACCGTATGGAGAATATTATTTCAATTATCTTTTTTATTTAAGTATGCTTTATGGTCTATTGGAAAAAGTGATATGTACTATTGTGAAAATGGATTCTATTGTTGGGTGAATCACTCTGTAGATATCTGTAAAGTCCATTTGGTCAGTGGTCTGATTTAACTCTAATGTTTCTTCATAATTTGTCGGGTTTACCTGTCTAACTGTGAGAGTAGGGTACAAAGGCCTCTACTATAATTGTGTTGGTGTCTGCCGGTCCTATTAAATCCACTAGTCTTTGTTTTACGAACTTGGTGCACTGATATTTGGTGCATAAATGTTTAAAATTGTTATCACTCTCACTATTTAGTTCAAACTGGCCTTAAATCCACTATGGAGACCTGCCTGGCCTGAGACTTGTGATGATTGTCCTGCTTCAGCCTCCTGAGTGCTGGGATTGCAGGTGTGCATGAACACCTGCTGTGACTTTCATCTGCCCTGAGATCTGCAGCGGAACCTCTAGCTCAGACAAGGAGCAAGAGAGAGTGTATCCCAGTTCACCTGTTTCCTTACGCATGAGCTCTGCAAAGAAGTTCATGCTGGGGTTGAGGACGTGGGCAGGACTCCAGCCCCTAAGCAGCCAATGATTCTCCTCCGAGCCTGCAGGAAATGATTGGCCAACACGTCTGGAGACAGTCAGCTCCTCCTGAACCAGGTGGAGGGTGACATTGGCTACTTGACAGGCAATGAGGTGGCCCCCGTCTGGGGTAGACTTGCACATAGCCTGGAGAATCCTGAGACACAGAGATTGGCAGCCCCTGAGTCTGCCTGGACCAAAGCCTACAGAAGTGCAGCTTCAGGTGGACCACAAGGTACCATAGTCTCTCATACCGGGCTAGCTGGTATGGTCTGGCTACCAAGGCAGTGTCAGCAGTGGTCGTCCATGGCAGGAAGTAAATGTTTGTCTGGTTTTCCTGCACTTCCAGTATCAGAGCAGTGCTGGTTGGATCACATGGTCTAAGAGGGCCCCGATGGAGCCAGTCACTACCTTCTTATTGATTTTTGTTTGGTTTTGTTTTGAGAATGGGTCTCACTATGTGGCTCAAGCTAACTTTAAACTCACTGTGTAGCCAGGTTGGCCTCAAATTCACAGCAAGCCGCCAGCCTCAGCCTCCCAAGTGCTGGGATTACAGGCGTGCACCACAGTGTGCTACCTTCTTAAATATGCCTATTACTGTTTTGGGGGAGAGGTAGCCCTCTACTACACAGCAGTCCCAGTAACTGATACTACAAGAAAAAAATATTCTGAATCCTCACAACAAATCAGGATGCAAGACCACCATTTTTGTTTTGTGTTTTGTGTGTGTGTGTGTGTGTGTGTGTGTGTGTATGTGTGTGTGTGTGTGTGGCTGGCTCAGCCCACCCTGGGGATGGGGCTGGTGCAGCATGTGGTGCTGGGGATCGAACTGCAGCCCCTGCGTGCTTGCCTAAGCAGGCACTTCAGACTGCTGAGCTATTTCACTAGCCAAGCACAGGTTTTGCTTCAGCACAAGGGGCACAATGAGTTGGACATGGTCAGCAGTCACCACCCACAGTCATCATACAGGCTACCACACTAGCATGTCTTGAAGTGGCCAGTCAGGAAGCTTAGCCAGTAGCAAGCTCCGGAGCTCAATGCACATATTTGCAGCAGCTTGCTTGACTCAAGCCTGCTTCTTGCAGGGACAGCTGCCAGGTCCTGGCCGAGTCAATGCCATTGTCATCCTTCTTGCTTTTGCATTCACCAGTGCCTGCCAGGCTCACCTGCAGCTGCTTAGTGCATGTGGGAGGGTGGGGTGGCAGAGGGCAGGGTGTCCATAGATGGTACCTCTGGCTACTTTCCTTGCAATCAGAGTACAGAGGTAAAGGTGAGATCCTACACAAGTGCCCCCACTCCACCCACTTTGCTGTGGAGGAAGACCAGGCCCTTCTCCAGCCCCTTCTCCCCAGTCAGGATCCCCTAGCTTCTGGTCTTTCCAGAACTCAGGGTGGATGGAGGCAAAGCTTTCAG